GCCGTGCCGATTTATCCGTGGTGGACCTGTAAGTCAGAAATTTTTCTTATTGATAAAGTTTGCCAAGTCAGATTGAGTTTTTCGGTAACAATAGCAAAAGACATGTTATATGGCTAGCTCCGTGAGCGGGCGAGATGAATCAAATCCTGTGATTAGCTACCCGAGCGGGCAAGATGGCGCTATCTTGCCCGCTCGGGGACTACCAGCTGTGTCCCGCAAAAAAAAATTTCCCCAAAGCCAAAAATAATTCCTTTATTGGCCAAGCTTTTTCGGTCAAGATGTTTGGATGTTGGCCTCGTTCTTTTATTGTGAGTTTATGGATCGCGACTCCGTCTCGGTCATAAACATGCAAAAAGCGGACTTGGCCAATATTCAGCCATCTTTCACGCTTGGCTTAAAACCCATATTTAAATTCCTTACTTAGCCAATGAGCGGCACGGGAAACATTTTAGATCTATGAGAAATAGTCTGGAGTCAATAAAGAAAGTGACCTACCATCAGCCGCCATGCTGTCTTCTGCGTAATACGCATTGCTCTCTGAAAAGAAATTCATGACGAAGTTAACTGTCATGATCAGTACCTGTGTCATGATTTGTCTCTCTGTTTTTTTTTTCTACTCAGTAAAGGCATGCTTAGTCTGCGTACGAGCCAAGTGGTCCCTCAGACCGGAGCTTATCCCAGTTTCTGTAGAATGAAGTGACTAGGAGTATTTCAACTCATCAGAATAAAAAATTTCACCATAAATATCATCACATTGTTAATTGTATTATGTCAAATGTATTTGAGTCTCATTGTAAGAGGCGTCTCGAGGTTATAATTTCATACCAGATAGGTCGTCAGAATCTTGTTCCTCGATGTCATCAAATAACCTGAAAAGACACTGGAAGATATAAAATCTTGTCTCATACCAATTTGAGTTGAAATTGGAAACTTAATTATAGCAGCCTCTTTCCGGGTCGCTCGAGGGGATGCAAAGAAAAGAGACTGAAAACGAGGTTGAAGGAGCTTGTACAAGCCTTTCAACGGCGGATTTGCACTTGGAGTCAGTTCTTATTTAGCATGACGCTTTCTCTGCGCCAAAATGTAAACAATGGCGTCAGCAAGATCAGAATCCCCGTATTAACTAGGTTTGTGATCTGTGTTGTACATATCGATATGGCTGCACAATGCTCTTTGTATTGGAATTGTCAATCTCCTTCTCATAGACCAACATCCTTTTGGCTAGCAACAAACGCCAAAACATCTGAGCGAAATGGAAAGCTGAATCAGCATTAGTCCCAGATTTTACTCTTTCTACGCATGTTAAATAGCCGTTACCAAATTTGAACGCATGCGCCCAATATCAAACTGCAACCAAGGTTTTCTGGTTTCTTTCTTTTTTTTTTTTTTTTATTTTGTCGTTTGTCTAGAGAGGCAGGCGTTTGACCAATGCTGACCGAAAACGCGTGGGCTCTTGAGACGAGATTGCACATTTAACATTTTCAAAACAGATCTGAGAAGGACATGTTTTGACGACTCACCCTCGCTTGCCGTGCCTGTTAATCCGTACTTTGGGTGGATATGCTGGACCTGTAACAACCGGACCACCTTCAGTTATTCAGTCAAATCAGTCAGTCGTTCCAGTTTGGTAATAATTTTACTTTTAGTTTCCAAGGGTGGGGTGGGGGNTAGTCTATTCTGTGGCTAATTATAGACCCCATCTTAGTCACTATTTTCGCGATCCCATCTCTTTATGCATCTACCTTATAAAGCCCTTCAACTAGTTCATCCTAAAATGAAGTGACACATTTGTTAAACTGAATGTAGAACGGTAACAACCTTTTCACCGTGAATCTTCCCGTTTTGAAATCCCTACTTGCTTGTATTTTCTTACTCCCAAAACCTCTAAAATGTGCGCCCTGTTCTAGTAACTCTATTGAACATGCAACCCCATTATAGTCAATCCAGTCGTGAAAATGCGACCCCACCCAGCGGTACATCCCCATAAGTCTATTACAAGGGAGTACATCCAAAGGGGTCGGGGTGGGAGGGGGGGGGGGTGGCTTAGCTCTGCAACAAACAGTTGAACACAAGTAAACGCATCCATAGCAAGAATGGATGGAGTATCAGTATATGGGGAATTAACTTTCTTACTCCTCATTCTCTCTTGGAAGATACTGTTATGTTACACAGGGGTTGTACTTTAGATGAACGAGAAGTAATAAATAAAAGCGACTTACTGTCAGCCAGCATCGTGTCCGCTGCAAAGAAAGTAATGACAAAAATTCGTAATGTGTTTCAACTTTCCAATTTTTCCATTGTTATTGCCCTTAGCTGTTTCTTTTTGTGCGGCCCTGTGCCCCACTAGACGCTATAAGGAATGGTGATGTGTGATGTTTCCTTGAGTTGCCTCTTTAGAGTTTTTCTACCCAGGTTAACAATTACTGCGAAGTCTCCTCAAACTGAAGGTAATGATCTAAATTACTAATAATCTCCTTGTTGCTACTATACCTCTGTCTTCTTCGCTGAAAGGTTTTCCGACTGTAGTTACAACAAGAACAGCGAACACGACCAAGGAGAAACACACCGTGTTGGAAACCATAGTGAAATTTACCGGCTTGTCCTTACAAAACAAAATGATAAGAGTGTTTCAGATTAGAATTGAAGGCTTATAGAAATATTTTGCAATAGTTCAAGTTCCAATCGTGATTAAGTAATGAGAGTAAATTCTATATCCCTTCCAGTCAGTTATTAACAATTCTGACCCTGGGTGGCACCTATGAGGTCATTTTTATCAAAAAAGAGTTTGCTAATTTTCTTATCAACTTTTGTCAACCTGTTCCGAGCACGTGAAGATACCATTATGGACTGAACCCTGTACTACAAATTCGTTCTTAACCAGAAATATCTTGATTGCAGTTGTCAGTAGCAAACAATAGAAATTTCAAGTGCTTGACTGGAGACAGTAAACCTTCGTATAGTTCTGTCTTATTTCCTTTGTAGAACACGAGGCCTCTGCAGGTAGGCTTGGAGGGAGTGGGAACATTCCGGGGATAAACAACAGTCTGACTGCCTGAAATCAAACGTCTTAACGATGAATCAAACAGGTCTTCCGAGAATGAGAAATTAATCATAACAACTGGTTATAGCTCAACTTCCGAACTGTCAACGAAACCTGACTGGAAAAATATAGGTTATAATAAAGGTTAAAATAAAGGTTGCCATTTAAAACTTAAAACAAGCTGTGATTGCTTTCTTCTAACTACCTTAAGGCCTGTCCAAACGGGAAATGTTTGGCGATCAAACACCATCAAACATTGTTTGGTGACCAAACATGCTGTTGAACTGAGTGGCCAAACGGTTAAAACATGTTTGATCAAACACAGATCAAACTATGGATACAAGCCGCTGAACAAGCGTGGTATGCATGCGCGCGCCAATCATGTTTTATATTGGCTTTCCAAACGAACTAAACATCGCCCATCAAACACTAGAACAAAAGAAATGTTTTAAGTTGTTTGATCGAATGTTTGATGGCCTTCAAATTTTATCAAACACGACCAAACACGATCAAACACGATCAAACAAACATGTTTGATGGTGTTTGGTCGCCAAACATTTCCCGTTTGGACAGGCCTTTACACTTTGCTAGACCGCACGTGGTCTCGTTTACACCCATGATTTACATAATTTGTGACTTTCCACCAGCGCACAGTTAAAGGACAATTTTAATTTTAATTGTTTTATTATTCTTCACGAGAACAGAATTCTGTACTACATAAGAAGTTGTTTTAGATTAACTTTCGGTAACTTAAAATAGTTCACAGGTTCGGTTTTGTTGTTGTAGCGTATAATAAGCACGTAGGAAACATCCTGTAAGACTTCCACAAGAAAGCATGAAGAGATGATTGATGAAGCCGAAGGCAAAGAGAAAAGTAAACACTATTTATGTTTTGATAAGCAAGGTAGTCAAGAGATTTTCCTTCGTTTTTCTCGCAGTGTTTTCAAAAAAAAATAATAGTAATAATAAATACAAACACATTTTTTTGTTTCTATCGAGTTTTAGATCGCATCGACTGTTATCGACGGTTCAGATGGCTTTTTGCCAGAAGAGCGTTTTATAATCCGGTTGAGGAATCCTGACTTAGGTGAATATTTCAGTTTCTATTTGTTATTAGAACAAGTATTTATAATGAAACAAACATTACATCTAATTCCGAGTAGTACGAGAAAATGAAATAAACATCAATTTGCGAATGTACATTTATTTGCTCGATAGATGCTTTCAAGGCGCGTAACAATCGTCCCGGGTGGAGGGGTACTCCCAGAAAAATTGGGTGGGGGGGGGAGGGTGTGCGGCCCGCTTCCCAAAACCCTTACTTTATTTATTACCAAAACCTGCGATATTCCCTACCCTATTTATGACCTCACCAAAAATTCGAACCCCTATTTATGACCTGACCCTAAATCAAACCCTGTTTCAGACCTACGTTATAATTAGTTCCCTAGTTCAGACCAATGTTAAATTACCGTAATCATAATTTGTGAAGGGCTTTTGTTGATTGTCTTTTCGGAAACGATGAAAAAGTGGCTTCTCCTTAAAAACATACCCTTATCAAGGATAGAGTGCAAAAAACCATACCCTATTTATGACCATAATGGCCAAAATCAGCTAAAATCTTTACCCTATTTATGACCCAAACGGCTGAAAAACCATACCCTTTGGGGCCGCACAAACCTATATAGCCCACATAAGGGAGTACCCCTCCCCCCGGGTAACCCTTCACATGTAAACTGAAAGCTGAAAACATACCGCGCTCGGATGATCCTAGTCCTAGGATGATCCTAGCACTAGGATCATCCTCTTTCCATGTAAACGGGCCCCTGCGGCTACTCTCCTGATTATCCAAACAATGTCACGTCGCAAGAGCGTGGGAAAACGAGTCTGCAATGTCCTTCGGGCAGTGAGCGGCTAGGGAACGTAGTCATTCGTAATGCTCCGTAACGCTACGTTTCTGTTAGCAAATTCGCATTTTTCACTCCAATAGTGATTTCAAATTAAACGGAACCAATTTTAAACAGTAATAATAATTATTTTTATTAAAACTCGCGTTTTAAAGGTGAAAATTGATCAAAAGAACTTGAGCAAATCTCGAGGTATTTTCGGCCTCGCTTCGTGAGATCCGAAAAGTCACGGACTATCTTGCTTACTTACTTACAAACACACATGATGACATATTGGTGACTGGCTAGAAGCCAGTAACCACAAAAAGTAGCGTGGTATAAATACTAGCATGCGTGCGTTAAGTACTAAAGCATCAAGATCTAGAAATACCGATGGACCAAAAAAGGAACAAAGTTGATTAGTAAAGAACGGGATTACAAGTAATGAACTACAGGTTCCTGAGATTTTTTCAAGATCTTCTTTGACGGTACTAGTTCTTTTAAATTCAAGGCACCTGAATGAAACTAAAAGTTCTGTTATGATTCTTTGGTTATCAT